TCAGCAGGACCAGCTATGGCATTAGCAGACCCCAGAGCAAATCTAAAACTCAGATCTCTTGTTCAAAAATTACTAAGAATTTAAATTTTTTTATTTTGCTACAGGGCATGTGTGCCTGCCGGAAGAAAGAGAGAAAGAGAGTGAGAAAGTAACCCCCCATGGGGGATGGTCACACCACAAACCCTTCTCCCCCATCTCTCCCTCCTGTTAGGATCTTGGGCATGTGCACACTCACGTGCCCTGCCTGTTTCTCAAGCCCCTGGGTTCAGGACACTCAACTATGCCATCTGCCCTGTGGAATCCAGCTGCTCTCTGGAAGCCAACCCTCTGGAAATCAGCTTTCTAATGATCAGAGAATTCAGATGCCATTTTGGGTTGAGTCTACTGATGCACATGAGGAGACTTCAAAATGTTTGTGGAAAAATGGAGTTAAAATACAGAGTTTTTTAATGCAAAACACGTTGAAATTCATGTACAGTTTTTCATTATATGCATTTGTCTGTAAACTTTTTGAAGATCTCTCAGATGATTTATCTTTCTTTGGTTTGGGCACTTTGGATGCCTGAGGTCTTCTTTCTCCAGAACTCTCACACCCTCTGGTATTGAGCGATATGTCCTGGGCTCCTGAGGCATCGCTGATAGAATCCGCTTCCCTCTGCTTCCTGGCTTCCTCCTGCTACTTCCGTTACCTGCTGGGATTTCCTCTCTCCCTGCCACCCTCCCTGGTTGGCCCAGCCTGAGGCATCATGAACCAGCTCTGCCCCCTTGTGGCAGGAAATGAAAAAATGTGGGTGCTGAGGCTTGAAGCTGCTGCTGAGACCACCTCTGACCTTGGCCAGCGATTGCCACCAGGGGCCAAGAGGTAATGCAGAAGGATGAGACCGGGGCCTGCTGGGCCTTGGGCAGCTTTCAACCTGGATTTTGACTAAGAGGTCGCCAGTCAAAATGAAACGTGAATCTCACCAAGTGGGCTGATGGACAGACAGTGGCATCCTCTCCCGACAGGGCAGCCACCTTACTCCTGCACTCCAGGGTGCAAAGCTGAGAAGTAGGAAGGCCCAGGTGAACTCCGAGAGTCCCAAATGATGCAGCAACCTGCCCTTGCTCAGAAGGTGTCCGCTGAAATACAAGATAGGGACATGCACAGGCCCAAGACACATGCCCCTCACTTTCTACAGGGTGTCTCTGGAAAGGGATATCCTCAGACTGGCGAGTGCCCTGACCACCTGGATGGGAGGGACTGGGCAGGAGGACAGATGAGTCTTTGTAACTGTAGAGCCTTAGCCGTAGCTAAGGTTTGTTACCTCACAGTAAGGAAGGCAGGTAGGTAGGGCTGGCTGGGCCAGGGACAGTGAGGCCTGCCATCAGTGGGGACACAGCTCAGTTTGGGGGAATCCCACACTGATCCCTGGGGAGCAGCATCCTGTCAGCCCCTGAAGCAAATCAAGGGATATCTCTCAGTCTTTACAGGGAAGGTCTTACCCACAGATCTCTAGTGACACCGATATGGGAAACTCTCCACAGCTCCAAGAGGCAGCGAGGTCGCAGGAACCCCAGAATCAGCCCAGGGTTCAGTCCCAACTCTGCCACCTACTGGCTGCTTGACTACAAACACGTGGTCCCCGGCAGTTCTACCTCCCACACCTTGACCTCTTGCAGGTGTATGTCACATGCCAACCTCATGCTCAGCTGTGTTCAAGAGCTCCTGGACGGCTTATTGCGGAGCCACCTCGTGTCGGAAGGCACACGTGCAAAACCATTTCATTCACTGCAAACAGCGTTCCTTTACTTAGTGATGCCACAAACGGGTTCTTTACTGCCTGATCACTTCACACTCGGTCAAACAGTTGCTTTGCTTGAAAACATCGGTCTCATTCCCAAATCAAAACTACTCCCCTTCCCCATCAAAAAATAAAATAAAAAAGCCTTGCTGTAGTCCCAAGCGCACTGCCAGGCCTTTGCTCTGCACATGTCTGGGCAGCTCCCTGACTCAGGAAGCTACTCACAGCTCCTTCACAGTGAGGGACAGGAAGCCCTGAGGTCCCTCCCACAGCCTCCGTGCACCATGAGGAATTAGGAGTGTTCAGGTGTCCTGGCCACACAACATTCTCTGATGCAGGCTACTCCAGAAAGCATTTATAACGTGAGGAATAACGCCTGCTTTGAGGGTGGTTGTGGGATTGCACTGAAGCTGACCCAGGCGTGCTCTTTACAGTTGTGCGAACTGGGTGCTGCATAACTCCAGTGTCACTTCACCTTGTAGCTGTCTGAAATGGTATCTTATCATTTTCTGGCAGGTGATAGTTGAGTATCAGCACAGGGGGTGACAGCAGGGCTGGTGGCACGGATGGCAAAGCCCTCTTCTCTTTTCCGAACCACAGACCCTGTTTGTACAGCTTCCCCTGCCACGAGAGTCCTAGAATCCAGAAGCCAAGGACTCATTATCCATGGTTCCTCAGAACTGCCCACATCTCATCCCCCTGCCTTGGTGACCTATGTCCTACCTCAATCTGTCTTTCGTTTAAAGAATTATTTTATTCAGCTTTATTTATTTAGACCACTCGACCAAGTAGTCAGAGCTAGAGAGAAAGAGAAAGTGAGAAAGCAAGCTACCAGGTCTGGGACTCAAACCACAGTCGGCCATGTGGGAGTCCAGTGACCCCAATCACCACACCACCTGCCAGCCCCACTGCTTCAATCGTTCTCACACTTTCAGCTGCAGAATCTCTTGGGGATGGAGGGATCCAAGGATGCTCAAACCCAAGCTGCTGTGCAAGGAGGAAAAGAGGGAGGTGAGGAGGGGCCCAGGGAACCTCGAGTCAGCACTAGGATCTGCCTTTTAGGGTTTTAGTGTATGATGATTGAGTTTAAAGTGGGGGGGGGGGGGACTGGATATTGCTACTGCCAGAATCTAGCAACTTACAGTGGAAAAGAGGAAATCATTTCTGAAACATACAGTGACATAAACTTGATTCATACTTTATAATTGTCATTTAAACAAGTCCCTTCTGACCTCATAGCCCTAATGAATACATATCATTAAGTGACTTGTACTTATTTTACTCAATTGCCTTGACTGCAACACTAACATACTAACCTTGGTCATAAAAGCCTTAGAGTTTGTAGATGGTGTGACAGGATGTTAGACTTTCAAAGTCAGAGACAGGTGACAGTGACCTAAGAATACTCTTTCTTTCTTTCTATTTTTTTAAAGGTTTTTGCCTTAGGGCTCATGTACTTGCCAGAGAGAGAGAGAGAGTAAAAGAGAAATTGAGAAATCACACCCCTCCCGGGGGGGATGGCCACTGCAATCCCTTCTCCTCCATTCTCCTCCCAGGATCTTGGACACATGTACACATGTGCCCAGTGTGATTTTCAAGTCACGGGTCTGGGACTCAAACCACAGCTGAGAATATTCTAAGCTATAAATTTATATGTGGACTTTCCTACAAATCAGGGGGGGCAGCCAGATGAGTTATTTCCAACTAAAGCATATTTGAGATGTTTTAAGCTAGAGATTGGAACCATGAGTAGCTAGGGTCACCTGCTGGCAATGAAAGGTACTGCAGTCAGCTATATTTCAGACTGGGCAGTGAACGAGTCATTCAGAATGACCCAGGCATCCTGTGGTCTAGGGACAGAAACACAGAGTACGTGGTTGGCAGAGGACAGAGAGTGCCTCAGTCAAGAATGTTCCAGCTCTTACCATTACAAAGAGATTCTTCATTTTGTCTTTTGGAGACTATCATTTCCCTAAGTAACATACCAATTACGTATTAAGATACCGAGCATCTGGGCCAGCAGGTGACGTGGTGGTTAAGGTGGCTGGATCCCACATGGACACAAATACGCAGTGTTGAATCCCAGGTCCAGTAGCTCGAGACTGGCTCACTGGAAGCCCGTGTGTGCATGCCGTAAATCCCAAAAGAAGAATGAAGGAGAAGGGATTGCAGCATGGCCATCCCCCCAGGGGGTGCTTTCTCACTTTCTCTCCTAAATGCATGTACCCTATAGCAAACAAGCAAAACAAACAAACAAACACAAAAATACAAACAAAAAACAGTATGCCTTAGTATTACCCCTTCTTTGCCAGAATTTTCAGTATATTCTTTCAGATCACTCTCGCTCGGTCAGAATACTTTTGCAGTTTTATAATGGAATATAAAAGGCTCATTTTTCAGAAATTTTATTTTAGTTGGCTTGTTGGAACACACTTCTCTTCCTAAAAGCAAAACTTCCTGAACCGGATGGGCTCCATCACTGTCCTGTGTTCTCCACTGAATGACAGTCCCTATACCGTTTTAGCCAGGCTTCTTTGTTTCTACTTTTTAAATTTTCGTACCAAAATGAAGGAATGTAGGAGTTGAAAAACACAGCATAAAAAGAGGACACGTGGGGCCTTCGGATCACAAGGCAGTTTTATTGAATTAGTCGCATGCGGGAGCAGTTCTTCCCAGGAGCAGCAAACGCAGGTGTTAAGAGTGCAGAAACCAGAGGGTGGAGGGGCAGGGCGGGGTCTAGGAGCCCGGTTGCCTGGTGACGTGCAGAGCTGTCTCTGGGTGGGGCTGCGGCTCATCTCAGGGGGAGCTGGATCAAGACACCCCTTGTGTGGAAAAGCAACGTTCACATCTCACTCCTCTCTGGAATAAAAGAGGGGATGGAGTTAAGGGGAGCACTCAATATTCACTGAGAGGAGCAACCAGCACTCCGCATTCTTATCCACCATGGAAGAACATCTTCCAAAGGAAAATAAAACTCCCAGTGATGTCTCAGCTCCGTCCTTGAGCTCTGGCTATCACAGCCCTTCCCACCAGGCTGATTACTCTGCCCCTTTTCTGGGTCCCAGGGACCTATCAGGCCGGGCCTTGAAGGGCTGCAGGAAAGGCCCTCTGACTCACCAGTTCTCTCTCATTCTTAGGTTTATTTATTTCTTCCATAAATGAGAGAAAGAGAAAGAATCCAACAGGAAGTCGAAGTTACCTACCCCCAGCTGGCAGCCAGCCCCAGAGCACGGGGCTACCTTGCAGGGTGGCGGGTTTTACCACTGCATCACAATCTCCATCTTACCGGTTCTTCTTACGGTATTCCTTTAGCGCTTTCTCTGCCACAGTTTCCATAAATTTAGGATTGTCCTTGGAGACGTCTTCTGGGATCACCACAGTGATTGGGTCAGAGTCAAAGAGCTTTACAGTCACCTCAGTGACACGGGAGGGGACATCTGAGTCGGATGTTTGGGAAGTCACCTGGAAAGAAGAAATGGGAAGGGAAGAGCTGAAACCCTGTGGCTAACCAGTACCCATCCTGCTTTAACAGGGAAGATGATCTGGACAGTTGATCCAGCAGACAGTGGATCTGCTTTTTACTGTGCAATGCAACAGATGGAAGTGCCCTAATTTCCAGGTGCTTCTTTTAGGGGCAAATGCCATGCACAAGTGACCCGCCCAGAGGGCACCTGTGTAAGAGTGAGAGTAAGAGTGATCAACATTTTCCCTGGGCAGCCACTAGCCAGACTGTGGTAGAAAAGGATTAGAAAAGAGGTCAGCTGTGGCATGGTGGGTAAGGCAACTGGATCCCACATGACCAACTTCACAGTTTGAGTCCTGGACCTGGCAGTCTGAGAAACATGCCAGGGGTGTGTGTATCTCTGTGTGTGTGCCCAAAAGCCCAATATGGAGAAGAATGGATTGCTTCCAAACAACGCACAGACTCTGCAGCCAGGCAGACAGGTTCGAACCCCCAGGTGAGTCACCTATCAGTTATCTGGCCCTGGCCAAGTTGGAATCTCTCTCCTTCTCCTCATCTGTAAAGTAGGATCATATCATTGCTGGATGATGAGGCTCCAATGAAATGATATAATCAAGTTTTTACATTTCCTGCCATGAGATGAAGGCTCAGTCAAAATCAAAGGACACCTCCCTTTAACAACATCATCTCATTTCACTCCTGAAGTGGTTCACATCACCTCCAGACCATTCCTTGGGTGCCCTGGTTTCAATGTGGCTGGGCCATGACTCACCGTACTGACCCGGAGATAGTACTGGTCTTCGTTTTGGGTGAGGTTAGCCAGCTGGGACACCCAGCTAAACTGCTCGTTCAGCTGCTCCAGCAGGGAAGAGGTGTTGAGCATCTTCCACTGGTAGGACTGCAGCAGCTCATTGTACTTCTGGGTCAGCTTCTCGGCAATCTGGAGGGAATCATTCAGCTCCTGCCGCAGCTGAGCCTGAGAGGGGTTGTTGGCCGAACAGTCTGCCCCCAAATAGAAGGAAGGGGAAAAACATGAATGGAAATCAGTTCGGGCAGCCCAGATGTAAAGCAGAGCTACCCTATGCAGTGGTCGACAAACCATTTGTTATTATCCACTACAATACAGAGTTCGCCCCAGCAGGTGAATCAAGACGCTGCTTCTAAACCTGGGCTTTTCCTACTCTGGGTCTGTGGTTCTAGAAAATCCTGCAAGCTTGTCTTTTTTTTTTTTAAAGAGCTATTTGTTTAATTTTGTTTATTACTATCATTATTTTTAAATTTGCTACAGGACATGTGCACTCACCAGAAAGAGACAGAGAGAGAGAGTGAGAGAGCAAGCCATTAGGTCCGGGACTCAAACCATGGTCAGTCATGTTGGAGTCCAGTGCTTTAACCACCACACTACTTGCTGGCCTCCTAAGCTTGTCTTGTGAACATATCAGCAGAGTTGTCAATTCTGATCCCAAGAGCCCAAGCTGCAGAAGAGCTGACTAGGATCCTCCATCACAAAGCCTGGTGGCTAGGAGTCCCGGCCTGCCACCTGCCCACCCATGGCTGGTCACTAAGCTCATTAGGAGATGAGGAACACTGGATTCTTTCCTTTGGTTCTCTGCATATTGTCAAATTTATAAGCGCTGGAAACTATCCTCTATCTCTTTAAAAACTACTGATTTTTTTCTCTCTCTAAATTATTTTTAAAATATCCAGAGGAGAGTACATCAAAATTAAACAAGTCAGGAGACCAGCAGTTGGCATAATGGCTATGTCGCTGGACTCCCATGTAGTTGACCATGGTTTGAGTCCTGGACCTGGTGGCTTAAACTCACACCAGATGTGTGTGTGCGTGTGTGCGCAAGATCCCAAGAGGAGAATAGAGGAGAAGGGATTGCAGCATGGTCATCCCCCCTGGAGGGTGATTTCTTGCTTTCTGTCTCTCTGTCTTTCTAGTGAGCATACATGCCCTATAGCAAGAACCTCTCCGAAAAAAAATTAAACAAGTCAGGAAAAAAGAGATCTTTGCAAGCTTCAGAATGGTGACTATAATCACTTATATTAGAATAAAATGTTAGGTGGGGCAAAAAATAGGGTCACTAACAAAAAGCCAGGATTAAAAAAAAAAAAGTCTTCAAAAAGTTCGTGAAAAAGCTACACATGGATTTCAAAAAATGTTTGCACTAAAATAAACTTAAAATTTAGTTTAATTTTTCCAATAACTTTTTGAAATATCCTCACATGTAATGAATAACCTGAGAGCGAGCCCTGTGACTTGGTGGTTAAGTTAGCCAGATCCCATATGGCCGATCCCATGGTTAGAGTCCCAGACCAGGCAGAGTAAGTAATACACTGGGTGCATGCCCAAAATCTCAAAAGGAGGGAGAGCTGGAGAAGAGATTGTGCTGTGACCATGCCCCATGGAGGGTGCTTTCTCCTCTTCCTTTAAGTTCTCTGTCTAGTGAGCTCATGTGCCCTCTAGCAAAAAGAGAAAAGTGAATAACCTCAACCCTCTTTACCAGGTCACAATTAGAAAATAAGAAATGTTCTTGAGAATCTGGACTATCTAGAACAGAAGTTCTCAACTGGGGGTGATGTGCCCTCTAGAGAATATCAGGCACTTTCTGAAGACATTTTTGGTTGGCACAACTTGGGACGAGGAGCTACAGGCCTCTACAGGGTGGAGGGCAGGGACACAGCTAAACACCCTACTATGAGCAGGAGAGGCCCTGCTTCCC